GAGAGAGAGAGAGAGAGAGAGTGGTGTGTGTGTGTGGCCAGCTCAGCCCACCAGGGGGCGGGGCTGGCTGGCATGTGGTGCTGGAGGATTGAACCGCAGTCCCTGATGCTTTGCTAAGCTTGTTCTAAGTAGGTGCTTTAGACCACTGAGCCATCTCTCCAGCCCCAATCCTTATCATTTTTGAGTAGTTTAGTAATGAGCCTTTTTTAAAAAAGCACATTCTGATATTTGCATAATGACAAAAACATCTAATGACATATTTCTCAGACCACATACCCTGGACATACACTTCCTAGTCTAGAGAGAGGAAGGAGATGGGGAGGAATCAAAAGTGATTAAAATATATTTATCTAGTAATTCTCCAAAATGAATGTAAATATCATGCATTACAAACATGCCAATAAAACAATTCCTACTCAAGTTCCCGACCCCAAAAGTATGAAACTCATTGTCTGGGCCCCTATTTGAGTCAGTCTTCAAAGAGATTAGAACCATTCTTTGTGACACCCCAGAGTCAGGCAATCCGAGATCAGGAAAGCAGTAGTATTTCTGGGAAAAGTAGTCCCTTGGAGAATCCCACGTAGGCCTCATTGTGCCGTGGAAGAGGGATGCAATGCATAGGCCCGAAGGCAGCTCCAACTTTGGATGATTGCCTTCCTGCAGTGTAGGGAGGGCTGACTTCTAACTCCCGCTGTGCCTGCCCACCTATTAGGTGATGTTGCCTGTTTTCCTGGGTGAGCAAGTACCTTCTGAACTGCTAGCAACCACCTTGGCAGAGTTGGATGAGACCCTGCAGGTGCTCGAGGAGAAGTTCCTCCAGCACAAAGCTTTCCTTGCTGGGCCCCAGATCTCGCTGGCTGACCTGGTAGCCATCACGGAGCTGATGCATGTAAGTGCTGGGTGCCAGGTGGGCACACTAGATGGGTGGAGGGGCCGGCCGGTTGCTGAAGTCCTGCTTATGCTGCTCTGCCTGGCTGTGGGGCTGTGCTTATGTGTGGAAACCCCTCCCGAGCACTGGAGCTCTCAAACCAGGTAGATGAGGTTAGTCCTTGGCTTTACTCATCCATCCTCATTCTGTCTCCTTCACGATACAGCCCGTGGGGGCTGGCTGCCAAGTCTTTGAAGGCCGGCCGAAGCTGGCTGCGTGGCGCCGGCGAGTGGAGGCCACAGTCGGGGAGGACCTCTTCCGGGAGGCCCATGAAGTCATCCTGAAGGTGAAGGACACACCACCTGCTGACCCCACCATAAAGCAGAAGATGCTGCCTAAGGTGCTGGCCATGATCCGGTGAGCTGGGAAGTCTCACCTCTGCTGTGCCCCAGAGTGCGGCTTAAGGAGCGCCTTTATTTCCACTGCCCAGACAGCAAGCAGGACTGGCTTGCCCTTGAAATATCACACCGTGGCCTCCCCAGGCCAGAGGTCCATCCCCTCTCCCATTTCCATAGCAGCCTGAAAACGACCCATGATGCATGTCCAAGCCTTTAATCACTACATTGTGTAAGTTTATATAATAAACCTAGGCCCTATCTGGGTTTCAGCTTCCAACTCTACTGTGCAGTTTATTTAACCTTCTTGTGAACTGCCGCTGGTCTTGGTCTTTATCCAAATGATAACCTTCCCGCTCCCAGGCCCCAAGGGCCAGCCCTCCTGCCCCCATGGTTGCCCTGATGGTGAAATGTACAAATATGCTGCAGTCTTCTGGTTCTTGGTGAATGATTTGTCAGATAGCCCAGGGGTTGCTGGCAGCACCTGGTGTGTTGGCTCTACGCATGGCCAGGCTGGGCCAGTTCCAGGGGATGTGGCCCTGTACCTGTCCTGAGCATCTGGTCAGGGGAAGAGAAATTCAAATATCAAATCTCATAGTCAGGGCCCAGTGATGCAGGGGTATAAATGGCATTCTTAGGCACTGGGCTGTAACTTAAACTGTAACGAAGGGCTGAAATTTCATCATAAAATAATCTGGATGCTAGTGGGGATGGTTTGGAAGGAGGCAGGCAGATCGGATATTGCAGGAAAGGTTACCTGTGGAAAACTGGGAACAACGGAGCAGGGATGGGGAGTGGACCATCGGGCTTCTCTCAGTCAGGAGAGGGTTGTACTGCTATGTCAAGAAGGCACTGTGCTGTCCTGGGGGACAGGCCTTCCTTAAAAGGGAACTCTCAGAATCAGAAAGCTAGCAGTCTTCTTGATTCCAAAAATAACCTATTCTCTTTCCAAGGGGCATTCTTCGAGGCTTGGGTTTGGGGCTGGGGTCTTCTCATCGCTGGAGGAAATAAGAATGGCACAGTCACAGGTCTCAGGAGTTCCAGAACTTGGCCCTGGAAAAGCGGGGGTGGTGGGAAGGTTTTGTCCAATCCCAGGAACCTCTGCAATCCTTTGGATGGGACATTAAGGGCCGCTAGCATCTGAGGGGTGGATTAGCTGGAGTGTAATGATATAATCCTAGCGGTCAGAGAGGGTGGGCTAATCCCTTCTCAAGGTGTGGGCCGGGCCTCTCAAACAGCATGAAACCAAATATCTTCCCCAGCCTCCTTCCTGGGCACAGTGCCCAAGATTGTGTGGGGAGGTGGAAGCATCTCTTCTTTTTCTCCCTGTGTATTCCAGAAAACTCCAAAGCCACTTTTTTCTAGGCGCTCTTCCACGGTAGAGGGAGGGGCCTTGGGGTGACTGCAGACAGCCCAGGTCTTTCCACCTTAAATTCACTGAGAGTCTGTACCCCTGGGGTCTTGTTTCTCATTTCAGCTCTCCCTGCCCCATTTGATGAAGGTGGGTATTGAGGCCCCGGGAAAGAGGTCTGACTCGACAGGAACCCTGCCCCACTCCCACCCTTCCTCACCCACCTCCCACTCCTCTAGGTGTCGAGTTTTTTGTTTTGTTTTTTTGCGACTCGCGCTTCCAGACCTGCAGCCCAGATCTGTAGGAGGGGAAGATGAGAGACTCTGATTGGTCTAAAGTTCCCCGGAGCCAGCCAATGGGCATGGAGGGCGTGGTCGGGAACCAGGGTCCTCCCCTGTGTATATCTTTGGCTGGGGCCTTGCTGTTCTTGTGGGCTGGTTTTTGTTGTTCCAGTTCCTAGGTCTGCCCTCAGTCCCCACTGCCATTCCATACTATGGGCCTGGAGCTCTACCTGGACCTGATGTCCCAGCCTTGCCGTGCAGTCTACATCTTCTGCAAGAAGAACGGCATCCCCTTCCAGCTGCGCCCAGTGGAGCTGCTCAAAGGTGGGTATTGAGGACAGGTGGCCTGGGGAACCTATACAGACCTGCACAGGACAGGTGGCCTGGGGAACCTAGATTAGGGTGCAGGCAGACCTGTGTCTTGTGGTGGTCTGGTGAGCGCAGGCATGCGGAAAGGCGGGAAGCATCAGTTCTCCAGTGTGGAACCTGTTGCATCTGTTCCCATTTGTGTTTTAAGGAACCCTAGTCGTTGTCTAGTGAATAGAGGGCATCCTTCGAAATACTAGATAAAGGGAGCAGAGGAGCTCCCAGAGTGGGGCCGGAAGTATAGTGAGAGCCAGAATATGGCCCACCCTTTTTCTGTGGGAGAAAGCAACTGAACCACCTCGTTTCCTTATTGAAGCTGTCTCTACATCTTCAGCAGAGAGACCCCTGCCTTCCCTAGCCTCCTTGTCACTCTTAAGCACCCCTGCCTGTGATTCTTGCATTTTATGTCTCCCTTGGCATTTTTTTGCCTTTCAGTTTTCTGGTTAGTGATTTGCCCTTTGGTCTCTGGATGGCTCTGACAGGGCAGCAGGGGAGGCCAGCCCCTTCCCTGAGCAGTGGCACTATGTTCTGGTTGGCCTGTGAAACAGCTGGAGCAGAATCCAGAGGAGGAGGTGGGGCAGGCCCCCCTGCTCAGCAGATCCCTGCCCCCAGCTGGGGGATTAACTGGGCATAAAGGTAGTCTCCAAGCTGGCCTGGGCTGGCGGGTAAGGTATGTGGGAGTGAGCCAGATCTGGGCACCCCAGTAAGGAGGGAGACTGGAAAAGTTGGCCCTGGAAGGAAAGAGGTGTTGAGCTGCTGGAGGATGGGTGGCTCGAAGGGTCAGGTGTTCTGAGAAAAGCAAGGGTGGACTGAGAGCTGGGAACAGAGGGGAGTGGGGCTTGGCTGGCCTGGTCAGAAAGACTTGAGTCCCCATCAGGGTTAGGGAGACGAAGGAGAGGGGCAAACGTACAGCCCAGGGAGGAGACTGCAGTGTCTAACCAATGTTGGAACTGTCAGGGTCACCCTGGCCCCAAGCCCAAACTAAGATTCTGTTTTTTGTTTTTTGGTTTTTTTTTTTGGCGGAACTGGGGATTGAACTCAGGCCCTTGCGCTTGCCAGGGAAGCGCTTATTCCACTGAGCCATCTCCCCGGCCCCCAAACCGAGATTCTGCTTGGCCTAGGCCGCAAGGGTGTGGACACAGGGCAGGTGGACCACTGAAGAGGTCAGCATCTGTGATCAGTGACCAGCACAGTGACTGAATTTTTTGGGAGATCTGGGGGCTTGGGGTTCTCCTCCCTGCTTACTTGACTGATCTGTCCTACAGGCCAGCACTACACTGATTCCTTTGCTCAAGTCAACCCTCTGAGGAAGGTGCCAGCCTTGAAGGATGGGGACTTCACCCTGGCTGAGAGGTAATGCATTCCTGGCCCCCAGCTGTGTTAGCCAGCGGTTTGTGTCCATTGTTCATGGCTAGGGCCATGGTTTGCTTCTTTGTTTGTCTATTTGTTTTTGAGACAGGGCCTTGCTATGTTTTTGAGGGCCTTGCTGTGAATTCAAGGCAGGCCTTGAACTCACTCTGTAGACTAGGCCAGTCTCAAAGTAGGATTCACCCTCCTGCCTCAGGCTCCCAAGAGATGGGATTGAAGGTGTTTGCTCAGAGGCCACAGTTTCTGCGTCCTGGGGACCAGTGCCAGTCCCAGGTTAGAGAGCTGAAAGTGCCCACTGCATCGTACAGATGAGGAAACTGAGGTTGGGAGAAAGGAGAGACTTCTACAAGGTTAAGGGCCCAACCTGCTTTTAGGTCAGCTTTGGAAGAAAAGAGGGGGAAAAAAAAAGTATGGAGCAGCGGCTGCACCAGCCACTTCAGAGTGGCTACTTCTATAAACCAGGGAGGAAGAGTTGTTTCCCTGGAGAATCGAGGAACCACCCAGTGAGTGCAGTGGCTGTTCGCCGAGCATTCCTCAGCGCTGGGTCACACCCAGTGGGGCTTGAACAGGGAGCGTGTCTAAGCGTTTGCCTTGCTGACACTCACATCCTAGCGGGGAAGCAGACAGTAAACTCCCCCCCCCCCACATACACAGGTAAGAGGGGCCACAGTTTCTGCATCCTGGAGACCAGGACGAGTGTGGCGAGTGCTCTGGGAAAGATTGATTAGGGGGTTGGACAAGCAGCAAAGGGAAGGCTCTTGAGAATTTGGCTCCTGAGCACGAGTATGGGGGAGCCTGCTGGAACTTCAGGACTCAGGAGGTGTGTGAGGAAGCGTGTTCTTTTTTTTTTTTTTCATAATTTTATTGATAAACAGATAGCAATGAGACAGTTTCAAATCAAATCGGTAGGACAGTTTCAATAACTAACACACTGCATATATTCTTCTTAGTGGTTAATTGCTGTACAAGATGCAGACTTGAGATCCTATTTACAAACACCATTAGAACAAATCATTCTATTCATTAAGAGAATGTAACTATATATCTATCCTAACCACTTTGAATACACAGATACAAAATGGACATTTATCTGTATACCCCTTTTTTTCTAAGATCCGTTATTTGAATATTATAGGTGTGTAAACTCAGCAAAATATTCTAAAAGAGTCCAGTAGCCCATAATAGCATTGGGTCTTCTGTTTAACTGGCAATGTCAGAAATTATTGACCTGAGTCCCCCACAGCTCAACATAACAGCATGGCTTTACTTCCTATATTTCGTCTTCATACTTTTCTACTGGATGGTTAAGACCTAGGTAAAGCAGGACCTATGCAACAAGAGTTGTAGCTTTTGGGTCTGAGAAGGTCAGTGAAATCCCCTCAGGATTTATCCTGAGATCCTGTACCTCAGATTGTAGAACCTTTGTCCGTGTCAGCCAAGTGGATGAGTCATGGCCATTGCTTGGCCAATGTGCTCTCTGTGAAAGCCTGAGAGAGTGTTTTCTCTCCATGTGACTCTCCTTAGGCACACTCTACATCATCGATCACTTTCCTCTTTGGCCCCATAATCTTCTTGATCAGAAAATTTGGGACACTACCGAGGTACATGATGTTACAGTATAAGTTCTCATATTTCCTGAGTCTTAATTGACCTTAGAAGATTAGGGCCAAAATGTTGGCTTTCCTTGTAGCCCTCCTTTTTCTCTAATTTTGGTCTGCAAACTTAGGTTGCTAACCATCCAGAAGACAAGCATATTGTTATTATCAAACGACTTAGGCTGTTAAGATTAACCTCACTATCTCTCTGCATTTCAAACATCTTAGGCATAATAAGGAACAGGTATTTTTCATCAAGTATTGATATGTTGAACCTTAAGTCCCTACATAATATGATAAAGAAAATTTTAAAATTAGATTATATTTTAAAAATTAGGATAAAGAATTCTATACTTCTCATGTTTGCACATAAGTCCAAAAATCTCACCATATACAACCTTGAAGCAGGACAGTCCCACAATATTCCGTTTCCTGTCTCTTGCTTTCATTCACCACCCCCTTCAGGAAGCGTGTTCTGACTGGAGGGAAAAGCAAGAGTGAAAGTCTTCAGGTGGGGCCGTGATTGGGTAGAGGCTACAAAGTGTGGGGTCCAACTATGCTGGGGTGAGGGAGTAAAGCTGAGCAGGAGGGGAGGGCAGAGGTGGGTATGTGGTTCATGGAAGACAATGGTTTTTCCTGTGGCTGGGTACGACTAACAAGGAGGGTTTGTTTGTTTTGATTTTTGACACAAGAGTTCCCTTTGTAGTTTGGGCTGGTCTTGAGCTCACTTTGTAGCCCAGGCTGGCCTTGAACTCATGATGATACTCCTGCCTCAGTCTCCCAAGTGCTGGGATTACAGGTGTGTGCACCACACCAGCCAATCAGGGGGTTTTAAGCAGAGGAGAGTTGTGATCAGTTTATGTTTTAACAAATCCTCTGGCTGGGATGAGAAGGTTGCTGTGATAATGTTAGGCACAAGGCACCTGAACTCCAGCAAAGTTGGTGGTGGAGCAGGGTGGGAACGCTTGACTCTGGCCACTCCACCATGAAGCTGAAGGGTTGGGTATGGGTGGGTAGGGTGGACCCAAGGCCTCCAGGTTGGTAGCTGAGTGGTAGTGACATCTTCTCCCGAGGCCACAGAATACCTCCATGATAGAGCCAGATTCACATTCAGAGCCATTTGGCAGCAGAGCCTGAGGTCAGTGGACTGTCCAATACCCAGGGAGGCATGGTTAGCTCCAGGTCCCGGGCTGCCCTGAGCAGATATGAGGGGGAGAAGCGAGGGGAGGAGGTAGCTGGAAAGTGTGAGCAATAGAGAGGAGGTGGGAAGTAGTCTCTTTGTCATTTGAGAGCCCTTGGGCAGCCTCTCCCACTTTCAAGAAAGCACAAGAGGGGCAGTGGCCTTATTCCTGACTGTCTATCCTGTGTGTGTGGTGGGAGTACTACTTAAGGTGCTCTCACCTTTGAGACTCACACTGGGTGACTTTTCCTCTTGGATGCCTTCTCGAAGGTCCCGGCTGCTGAAATCCATGTGTTTTGTTTCTCACTTTGTACACGGAGTACAGATAATGGAATGCCCCAGTGTAGGGCTGTGTGAACCTGAACAGCCTTCTAAATGTCTGTGAGCCTCACATTCCTCCTCTGCCTTGTGTGACTAATGAACATTCTCCCCCAAAGCTGAAGAATCAGTGGAGCATGACTTCCACACCTCCCCTATTCCCGCAGTGTGGCCATTCTGCTGTATCTGAGTCGCAAATACAAGACTCCTGACCACTGGTATCCCCAGGACCTGCAGGCCCGAGCTCGGGTGGATGAGTTCCTGTCCTGGCAGCACACAGCCTTGCGGAGTTGCTGCTTACGGGCCATGTGGCAGAAGGTGAGCCAGGGAGGCAGGGACACCTCACAGGGAGCTGCAAGAATGGGATGTTGTGTTTTAAACATCCTGTTCAGCCCTCGGACTGTAGAACACCAAGTCCCAGGAATGCCACAGACTGCACGCACTTGAGCTATATCTTGCCAGATTCGCACAAGTCCCACTTAAGCAATTTGGAGTTCATTTGAGAGGTGGGTGAGGAGTAGGGACAGAACGGCTGCTGCACTGGGGAGGGCTCGGAGTGGGGGCCCATGGAAGGCTTTAAATGGAAAGGGGTAGACGTGGGTGAGGAGAAATCCAAAGGGGTGACGGTTGGGATGAGGGTGGGATAATGGGTGAGATTTGTGTAGAGTCTGCCCTTACCTTCTTCTGGGGATTGAACTAAGGGCCTTCATATTGAACTACATCCCCAGCCCTGTTTATTTTTTTATTTTGAAACACCCTCATTCACTTGTGCAGGCTGCTTGTGATCCTTGTGATCCTCCTTCCTCAGCTTTCCTCAGTGCCTGGACTATAGGCTTGTGCTGCCATGCTTGCCTCTGACCCTGTCTCTGCTGGCCCACCAGATGATGTTCCCTGTTGTGCTGCATCAGCCCGTGCCCCAGGAGACACTCTCGTCCACTTTGGCTGAGCTGGATAGTTGCCTGCGGCTGCTCGAGGACAAGTTCCTGCGAGACCAGAACTTCCTCAGTGGTCCCCAAATCTCTGTGGCTGACTTGATGGCCATCACAGAACTGATGCATGTGAGTACCATGGTGGGGGCGTGGGGGCTGCTGAATAGTAGGGAGTCCTGGGAAGGATCTGGCTTCCCCACTTATGTTGACCTTTCTGGTTGTGGGACCCTGAAGGAGCCATAGTGTCTTCATATATAAAATGAACCCTCATAAGCTTCACTTCGGGATACTGAGTGGTTACCAGCGTACCCTGGGAGGGAGGACCCATCCCATCACACATAGTGGAGGTGGAAAATCCTACCAGAGAAACCTAAAGTATGCCATGCTACCCTGTGTTTGGCTATGCCCAGTGCCTCCACCTCGCTCCCTCTCCCTTAGCCTGTCAGTGCTGGCTGCCAAGTCTTTGAAAGCCGACCCAAGCTGGCCTCATGGCGCAGGCGTGTGGAGGCTGTGGTGGGGGAAGACCTCTTCCAGGAAGCCCATGCAGTTGTCCTGAAGGCCAAGGACACACCTCCAGTGGACCCTGCCTTGAAGGAGAAGTTTCTGCACTCATTGCAGAGTTTGTTGCAGTGAGCAGGTGGCCTGGGCCTGTGAAGCCACCAAGGGAAAAGCTGGGTTGTTGGAATAAAGCAATGGGGCCGCCTGACTCCTTGTGTGTGGGTTGGACATGTCCATAGGTCTCTGGTTCACAGTTCCTTCCAGACATCATGACGCCACTCCTTTGTGTTCTCCCTCACATTTACTCCAACATCTGACTTCCAAAGCAAAACACAGCGGATTAAAGCGCCTGCAAGCAGGTGCAGGGGTGGGGGTTGGGTGGGTTCCGGCCTGGCGGTGCTGGCCCCGCCCCCGGGGCGTGCTGAGAAGGCAATTGAGATGGAGTGGTGATGTGCACCTGTAATCTCATTTTTTGGGAGGCTGTGGACAGACAGATCACTGAGTCCGATCTAGTAGTGAGACTTGAACACTCTCTAGACCCTTCCCTAGGATAAAACAACAACAAAATACCCAAATGACTTTTGGGGAGAGCTTTAGTACATGCTTCTGTGGCCTTGTGTTTCCTCTTTGGAAACTCCATTTCCCACTGTCAGGCTAAAAGCATGACGTTGCTCCCCATGTCTCTCAGCGTCTCCCAGCCTTGGCTCCTACCATCCCCTCATCTTACCTAGTGCCCCTCCTGCTCTTTGGGCAGGCGTTCTGCACCGTCTTGCTTCTGCTGGGAGACTTCCCTGACCTCCCCAGCCCAGGTCAGATGTGCCCTCTAGGATACTCAGCCTGAGCTTCTTCCCCTCAGTCCTGGCAGGGAGTAGACTCCATGCTCCCTGGCCGAGCACTCATCACAGATAGGGGGTGGCCAGGTGAAGCGCTGTCTGCCCAGCAATGGGCTCAGCCCCTAGGTCTTCTGCCTTTCTCTGTGATGTATTTCCTATAAGTGGGATGCAGGGCTGGTTCATGACCCTCCTTGCAGGAAGAGCAGTCCCTAGTTATGTCTTGGCCCTCCAGATGTCCCCAAGCAGCCTTGCTGTCCCTTACCTACTCTTAGTCCTGGCTTCTGTCTTCTCCTTTGCCTGCAGTGCCTTTCAGACTGGTCACCCGTCTCATGAGCGGGTGGGTCAGGTCTTTGATGAGGCCAGTCTGTTAGGGGACGGGCTCACCAGTCTAGTCTGTAGAGGTGGGGGTGTGGTCACAACAGCTAATTGGGAAGTGGTGAGTTTGTGCAGCCATATGAGGAGCTTGATTGCTGTGGTGCTCCACCCCTACTCCGTATTGTGCTACAGTTTGGAACTTCTAGCTCTAGTCTGTGATCTTTGCCACCCCGCAGCCCTTGCCTTCGCTCTCGCTTCCTTGCCTGGCAGCCGGCCACTGAGCTGACAAGAACTTCGCAGCCAACTGTGAACCTGCGGTGCTGGTGAAGCAGACATCCTGGGCAAACCCGAGGATGCCAGCAAGGATTGGGGTTCCCTGGGCAAGAGTAGGTTGGGGACCAATAGCACGGTTCTGTCCACGCCTTGCCTTTTAAGTGACCTGGACTCTTCTCCCTAAGGACTTCCAGTTCTCCCACCAACCTTGAACTTCCGTGCCCCATGATCCCAGGCGCCAGCCCTTTCCTTTGGCCCTCCAGCTATGACCCTGACCCGACCTCCGAGGAACCCAGCCACTGTCCTTTGCTTTCTGCTCAGCACTACTGCTCCACCTGCCCTCTTCCCACATGAGGTTGCTCCAGTTTCAGGTGAAATTTTTGTGTTCTCCATAGCATGTAACCAAAGGTGTGGGCTGGCTCGCAGGTGGCACTGTGTGGGTGCACAGAGCCCTGCACGCCTTTTCTAGTGCCCTCTGTCTGCAGGGTGGGCACAGCCCAGCAGGACCAGTACCAGGGCGCCAGCTTCAAGCCCCTCACTAAGGAGCTGGTCCTGGGTTCAGAGCAGCGCATGATCGTGGGTGGACCTGTTTGGAACTGCTGTGTGACCAAAAGCAATAATCCTGTTCCCTGGCACCTGCATAAAGAGTGTGTGTGTGTGAATTACATTCCTTGCTTTGCCCAGGAAGGACGGGCACATTCAAGGCCTCCTGCCTCAGCTTCTTGGGTGCTGGGATTACAGGTGTGTGTCACCACACTGGGCTTGGTTTACTACTGATTGACTGGGTCTTACTAGGTAATTTAGGAACCCCTGAATTGCTATGTATCCTGGTCTTCTCTCCATTTCAAAAGTCCTCTTTTTATCTTCTAGAGCTGAGTTTTTGTTTTTTGTTTGTTTGTTTTTCTTTTTGAGACAAGGTCTCACTATGCAGGTCAGACTGGCCTTGAACTCACTTTGTAGCCCATGCTGGTCTGGAACTTGCAATGATCCTCTTGCCTCAGCCTCCGGAGTGCTGGGATTACAGGTGTGAGCCCCCACGCCCGGCTTTGGATGTCTTTAAAATATATATATATTTTAAATTAGTATATGTTTCCAGTACATGGTGATTACATTCATCTTTGGGGAATGATACACATCATATCATATCTTGATAATTTTTACTCCCCCTCATGGTTTTTTTTTTAACATTTATTTTTCTGCGGTAGTCCTTGCCTGTAATTCTAGCTACTCAAGGAGACTGAGGCAGGAGGATGGCAATTCCAGCCCAGCCAGGATAATTTAGAGAGAACCTGTCTCAAAATTTAAAAAAATAAAAATAAAAACAAAATGGGCCAAGGACATACCTCAGGGGTAGATTGCTTCTGGGTTTAATTCCTAATACAAAATAAAAGTATTTAAAAATTGTCTTTTAGGCAGAAAGACCATAACATTCATTCATATTTAAATCATCCCGTGGGACCCAAGCCCCTATAAATTTAATCACAGTGGAACCCCTTCCAAAAACACTTTATAAGAAGCCCTTAACAGGTAAAGACAGGATTCCTCTTACATGACTTAAAGTCCTCTCACACCCAGCCTAATGCACCAACTCCCAGACATCTTTAAATGGTCACGTTAGTTTTAAAAGGAAGATTTAAAGTCCCAGTACCAAAAAAAGGAAGGAGAAACAATATTGATAACTCAAAACAATCCTATCGCAATATATAAAATTTAAAGTTATTTACAGAAACAAGTAGCAAAATCCATCCTCACACCTCCCCAAATCTTCCCATCATGGTAGAACTTCAACTCTTAAAAATTTGACTATTCTTAACATTATGGTCTCAGGTTCTAGCCATTTTGTTGCAAATAACATGATTCCATACTTTTTCGTGGCTGAGTAATACTTCATTGTGTATCAGTGTCACATTTTCTTTTATCTGTTCATCTGTTGATGGGCATCTAGGCTGTTTCCAAAGCTTTGACTGTTGTATGTCACGGGTCGGTGCCGAAAGAAACGAGGAGAAGATCTGACGCATGTAGCTTCAGAGGTCTCACTGAGATTAGTCTCTCTCCAAGTGAGCCCCGAGCCTCAGAAGCATCTCACTTTTATTGAGGGGTGAAGGCAGACTAAGGAATGTGCATAACTGCCTAAGTGAATACAGACTACTATCTCTATTGACTTCCACCATTTGCCTAACACTAGGTTCACACAAGTGCTAGCTGATAACATCCCAAGCAAGGGATCAAAGGACAGGGCGCCTGCAGGAGAAGCTGTTATCTGCTGCTTTGGGTTCCAGCTTTCCAGGAATTTGCAAACAGACAGCAACCCTCCTTGGGCTCAGTCCAGTGTTCCCTGCTCTTGGGACATCAGGCTTTTGTCTCAAATCTGTTATCTCTACAATTCCCGGCTTTTGTTTTTATGCTGAATGTTTTTGCAGCATCATGGTGAGGACTGCTGATTTTTGGTCTGTGGCTTGTTGCCGGACTCGTCCTCATCGCCAGACTAAGCAGGATACACAAATAGTACAGAGACAAATCACTACTACACTTCCACTAAACCATGGAGTAACATGAAAAGGATTAAGGTTTTCAATGCCATTTGAGATGCTTTGTAACAGATCAGTGTCAGACAATTCTGACAATTGTTTTACAAAAGTATTATCAATATGTTGCTGAAGAGACAGGATCTCAGAGGTAATATTACCACGATGCAATCGATATCTTTTTACATTTTCCCATGGAAAATGAGTTTGATTCCATGGAATCAGAGTTATACAGAATGAAGAGGTATTCCAATCACATTTTAAACAAAGTTGATGTTGTAGATTAATAATTTGACCTCCTAGCATAACAACAGCTTGCTCTAAATCATTTATCTTAGCATTTAACTCTGAGTCTACGTGTCCTTGAGAAGTCCATAATTGTTCTGAGTCCTTGTGCCACTGCTGCACAAAATGAACTGTGTACCCCTTGGCTCAATGCTACTCCGGCTGTGGCAGCTGTGGCTGTGATGGCGATTATTCCTAAAATTATGGCTATTATGAGTTCAATCATTCTTTTCGTTCTCTTCTTTAACACCTCCAGCAAATGTTGGAACAGCATCATGGAAGGGGAGTCTTGCCACGGGCGATGCCGTTGTACAGGAAGCCAAATTCCGGTCCTTGCCCTGAGAATATA